CTAAGGTGAGTCAGCTGGTGCTTGTGGTTTATGATGCCCCCCATGGATTCTTCTGGTCTATGGGGACTATTTCGAAGTCGGAAATGATGTCTGCGGTGGGTCGCAGTGATCTTTGACTTTTCCAGGCTCTGACGAAGGCGACCAAGCCGAAACGTTAGCCGAATAAAGATCTGTAACATCTTGGCTTGTGGCTTCAAAACTACTCCAAGAATACCACACACGATGCCAAGATTCATCGAACGTCGAACCTATGTGCTGTTGAAACTTCGTTTGTCTCACATTGTTGCCTTCAAAAATCCTCTCGTCCAGCCAAGGAGGAATTTCGACTCTGAATTTAAAAAAAAGCTTTTTACTTCGAAAAATATGAGCTTCGTATGAGCTCAGGGAAGCACGTTCAAGCACCCATGAGTGAAATAATCACTGTGAATGATATGAGCTTACCCCAGGCATCAACAGGAGCGTAACTTCAAGAAAAACGTTAGGGCTGGGGTGATCGAGCTGGCACGTCAAGTACATATACGTGCGCTGTGCATTTATAAAACCATGCACATTATAAATCAAAGATAGCGTCAAAGATAATTGACCCGTTTTGATACATTATTGCATCTCATGAAAAAAAATTTATGCGCCCAGGTGATGCACATATCTCTGTCAGCTCTTCCAGGCAATTTCAACCAAATGGTCGACAGGAACATTTTCAGAGGATGGGCGAGTTTTCCTGCAGATGGCCATGGATTTTACGGAACTTCATTTTAAATTTCGTATCTGAAGAAGTGCCTCTGAGTAGCACTACCGTTTGTTATAGGAGACTTTTTTTCGCTTTTTACTTCACTTTCTCCTCATAGTGATGCGAGAAATACCGCGCTTCTCTCACGTTAAATTTTCTCTTTTGACTTAACCGCAGAACACTGTATACCCCCTATGTCGACCAATACCGCCAGGTTTGAGCGACTCATCAGGCAATATGCGCAGTTTCTTTTTTTCAATTTGATGGCTAGTTTTTTAGACTGTAATTTAGGCTCCATTTACCTTTATCACACTCACTTTTGAAGACTGATTGGACTTTTTTTTAAAATTTGCTTTTACGGTTTTGTCTCGTGGGGTAAGTTGCTCTGCAAAATTAGAATGGCCACATCGGAAAGCGCCTTGCGCCACAGTTGTCTTGCGGAGAGTCTTTAAAAAATGGTCCGCTGAGCTCAAATACCACTCTACCCTGATGCGAAAGCATCTCTTTTCTACGCCTCAGACGCAGCTCATGCAGCCCAGCCTTGGTGCGCTTTTGTACGAATTGGAATAGTCGCATTTGTCAGACTACCCTCGGATGCACGTTTCTGGTGAGTGTCGTAAATCTGGGCGCAATATTTTGCAAAGATATGATGTGTGATCAAATTTGACAACTTTAAAGAGTGGTACTTATCATCGCAAGGGATAGTTCAGCAATAAAAACTATACGCACCTCGAAATCGGGGCGACAATGTCACACGACATAATTTGAGTAACGCTGTCACCACGGCATTAGAATCGTGCCCTGCGCTTTGTACGTGTTCTTCATATCATGTCCTACACTTCAAAGCGTAATGACTACACTTACGAGGAAGGTCTTTCAGGAAATGCCAAGCTTTTTGAAAACGGTTTTTTGCATGATATAGGGGCACATGCATGGAACCACAGAACCATGTTCATTTTTCCTGAACGGCCCTCTGAATACCAAAAAAGGGGTTATGAAGTGGTCCGTGGTTCGAATCCTCACAGTGACAATTTTTTTGCATTTTCTGTTGCGTTCCAAAGTTCACGAAAAAGGGTGTCAGCGTGAATAGCAGATGTCATATCTATAATTAGGAGCAACAGCAACCTTCATACGTAGATTTTGACTAAAAAAACTGGTGGAGAAAGTTGCGACACCAAAACGGCGCCGTTGTAGCGCCCAATGGCGTCATAGCGAATTCAAATGACGTTTACGCCAAAAAACTAATAGAATATTCGTAATCAGGACGCCGAATAACCCCTCAGGGAAAATTGAGATTTCGTCCTAACTTCGAACAGTTGGACCATGGGTCAGTAGCCCGTCAGGCTCTTTGGTAAACAATTTGGAGGCGACCTTCTTGTCATTTCTTACGGAATGAGAGATCCTTCCCCGTAATAGACAATGGTAGACACTCAAGCGATGGGTGAGAAGACAGCAATGACTATGTCATTAGTTCTCCTCCTTGTCAAACACTGGCAGGATGGGCTTCTGGTCATAATTCTGACTGGGTCTACTGCCGACAGCTAGTGAAGGTATTAGGTCGAGGATTTCGCGTCATTAGAGCTTCGTCGACCCATGTGAGTCAAGTAACGATACCGGAGTGGAACATTTCGCGTACCGCTTAGACACAGACGCCGGCACATGCGACGGTGAATGGCTCCGCGCGAGAGATGCGTGTCTGGACGTGGCAGAAGATCCTCTCATGCGTTGAGGAAATCTTCAAGCTATATTTACGTGATGCAATAGGGCTAGATTAAGCTGCGAAAAAAGTAAAAAGTTGGGTGAGACTGCTGCAAGGCGAATACTCGGTTTCTCTGTCGCAACCGGTTCGGCCCCCATGTAAGGTTTAAGCAACCTGGATTCGTGCGTTGCGACACGAAGTAGTGACCTTTTGACTGTGCGGAAAAGACAAGCAGTAAAATAAGAATTTATTTACAGACAAAATCAAGAAATAGTAGTTGGAAAGATCGCTAGTTAGCGGAGACACTGAGGCGAGTCGTAGATGGCGAACTCGAGGCGGGACCACCGAATACGGGACCACAGTCGGGTGCACGGCGCGAACTATTCCCTGACACAAGCCACAAAGGCTTCCTACGTTGAGCCACTGAGGCTCTTTCAACTCACTGCCACTAAGGCTTATCAACTCGAGCCACTTAGGCTCCCTGTCCAGTCCACTTAGGCTCTCCTCACTGAGCCACTGATACAACCTCTTGCTCTCCTCTATCGAGCTTAGGCCCTCCTTCTTACGGGCCACTGCGGTTCTCTCCTGACCGCACCTCCTCCTACTGCAACTCCTGGGTCTCTTTTATATGTGCGTTCCCGCCCGAACCGTTTCCCTCTGGCAAGGTGGTCTCCCATGACCCCGCGCGATCGACAGCCACAGCCTCCTCCTCGACCTACCGCGCTCGAACCAGCTGATCATAGCTGGCGTCTTGAGGCAGGCATGCCTTTCCCTTAACATGCCCCCCCTCGCTGAAGTCGATGTCCTCATCGACCGTTCCTCTGCTACTAGGTGACGGGCGCGATGCGACTTTCTTAAGCAAACGACATCCAACTGCTTTGACGCAGCTCCACATGAGCACACATTCCAGTGGTGTGGCTCTGCATCTCTAACAGGTTTTCTTTGAATGGTTTCCATCTTCATCTTACTTTCTCTCCTATTCCGTCCTCTTCTACATTTCTTGTCATCAATGATCGCACCATTGGGGAAGATCACTGCGCGTTTTTGATCTTGCTTTCTGCAAAGGCTATTCTCTTCACCTCTCCTATCGGACCGTCTTGAACTTTGTGGTTCTGCTGAAATTTTATCCTGACCCTTAACTGACACCACAGCTGATCGTCGCAATGATACGCTCAAACGCCTTGCTACCGTGACACTTTTGACCTCTACTCTGTCCATTCGCTGTTCGTTACTTTTCTCATTGTCCGCGACTACAGACAGAACCACACCTAACGTACTCAGAGCATTAGTACCCAGAATAATTTCGCCCGCCTTTTCTTGGGCTAATGTGGAACGGTACAAGCCCTCGATCTCCTCCTTCTAGCTCCGTATCAATATATACTGCTCCGAGAAATTCCATCCTCCTATTGGATGCATCGAAAACAGGCGCCAGTTGGGACACCTCGATCAGTTTCAGCGCGTCCACGTCAATTCCCCTATCCTGCGCTTTTAGCTAGTATATTCACTGGAATTACACTAACCATCGACCCTGTGTCGATCAGTGCTGGAATCATGGCACCCAGTACACTCAACTGTTTGACAACTCGACCACCTACTAGATCACCTATATTTTTCCCTTCTCGTCTGGCTGTCATTCCCAGACTGCGAGGCTTGCCTTATGATTTCTTCGTATAACTTTCCATTGTCGCTTTTGTTTCTTGACAGTTATTACGTTATCGATTGCTCAGGACAGTGTCTGGCTATATGGCCATATTTCAGACACTGAAACACTTTTTGTTCTCGGTATCCGCTAGCCGAGACCTAGGCGGGATGTACTGCATCTGCTTATGGCTTTCGCTGTCCACATGTGACTCTTTTTGGTAGTTGTCCCGCCCGCTTCTTACTTCTGCCCTCTGGCCAATTCCTCACGTTCTCCTCCCCATTGTGAGAGAACGCGTCCTCTTCAGCTGTACCCATCTCTTCACAGAGTTGCGATATTGTGTGGCTCTCCTCTTCGACTGGCCATCACTTGCTTTCCTTCCAACGCCGAACATGACCTTAGACTGTTCTATGCTCAAGGCTAGTTGTTTCACTTCCTCATATGCCTTGCGGGAATCCACCCTGTGCAAAGCCCCAACCAGCTGATAGTGTTTCCGGCCAGTCACTGAGATTATCCAGTAGGATCTGGGCATATTCCAACGAACGATCCTCAATGGAACAATCTGGATTGGCCTTCCTTCCCAAGTCTTCCAACGCAGTACAGAAATCGGCCACCTCTTGACCAGCTCTCATTCTCAAGCTCCTCAGTTCTGTGAGGGCTCTCATCCTCCCTGCTGTCGACTCCTGCGACAGTAGCCTGGTCATTTCCCCAATGACCACATCGAAACCTCGTTCCTTGGTTACTCTTGGAAGGGCCGTGAATATGTTCTTTGCTCGACCACCTAGATGGTCGTCACCTAGAATTTCTATCAAGGTGGCCTCGCATCCTATCACCTTCTCGTACTTCCTTTTGAATCTCCTCACGAACTCTTCAAAATTCTCATGTTTAGTTCCACTGAATACTCCAGGATCCGCGCACGCCATGGATCTCAGATATGTCAGAACTGACACGCCTGGGTCTTCCATTGCTGGCCTAGTAACCGGCGGAACTGGCGAACATACCCTTGAGGGGACAACATAGTCCCGACCCATCGGAGGCATCGCCTGGAATCGGTTGGTATGGCCACCTCTTTCGTTCAGGAACCCTGGTTGGCTCACGAAACATTGGACATCTGTTTGACTCTTTCTTAGGCTTCCTATGTTCTTGGAGAGCCAGGATCGCACTTTTTACGTGTAACACATCAGTATCCAATATTTTACAAATTTCTGATAAGACTTCTCCATCTTGTTCCATAGTCTCTATATACTCTCTCCAATCATCGACACATCCAATTCCTCTTCGACATAGGGTCTCCACAATCTCCTTCTCCAGTGGCGGGAGAACAACAGTTTCTCCCCTTGGCCTCTCCTCCTCAATTCTCCCATGTCCTCCATAGCTTTGGCCCATACCTGTTCCAACTCTGCTTTGACCTGATTCGATACTCTTGACTTTCCAAGAATCTCATTTGCTCTCCGCTGCGCCTCACCAAAAATTTGCAGGCACATCTCCCACTCCTGCTTCACAGCTCCAGTGCTGTTTATCTCACTTGCGCAGCCGGTTTCTTCCTCAAAAACCTTGTTCTCATCATTTACTGCAGCTTCGTTCGCCATCTTTGTCCTGATCCTGACTGTTCGCCTGCCTTCTTGCGAACACCTGCCTAGGCCACGAAGCGCGAACGTTTCCACTTCAGTTGCTATCACTGCTATCGGCTCCTCTTGCCTTCGGAGTCGACCCTTGAATCAATTCCTCCTTTTGGGGCACTGAACTCGTCTTGCTCGCTCAGCTACTGGTCACTCGTACTGTCGCAACCGGTTCGGCCCCCATGTAAGGTTTAAGCAACCTGGATTCGTGCGTTGCGACACGAAGTAGTGACCTTTTGACTGTGCGGAAAAGACAAGCAGTAAAATAAGAATTTATTTACAGACAAAATCAAGAAATAGTAGTTGGAAAGATCGCTAGTTAGCGGAGACACTGAGGGGCGAGTCGTATATGGGCGAAGACGGCGGAGCGACACCGAGTACGGGACCAGCAGTCTCGTGCACGGCAGTGGCGAACTAATCTTCAACACAAGCCACAAGGGCTTCCTACCTTGAGCCACTGGGCTCTTTCAACTCACTGCCACTAAGGCTTATCAACTCGAGCCACTTAGGCTCCCTGTCCAGTCCACTTAGGCTCTCCTCACTGAGCCACTGATACAACCTCTTGCACTCCTCTATCGAGCTTAGGCCCTCCTTCTTACGGGCCACTGCGGTTCTCTCCTGACCGCACCTCCCCCTACTGCAACTCCTGGGTCTCTTTTATATGTGCGTTCCCGCCCGAACCGTTTCCCTCTGGCAAGGTGGTCTCCCATGACCCCGCGCGATCGACAGCCACAGCCTCCTCCTCGACCTACCGCGCTCGAACCAGCTGATCATAGCTGGCGTCTTGAGGCAGGCATGCCTTTCCCTAACAACCCTCCTATTCCACGTTAGCCCTTCTCCAAGCCTTCCGGGGGCAATTTGTTTATGAATTATAAAATTTATATCGATGCACACACAAGTTTGTGAGAGACCAATACGAATTTGCAGTCGTAGGATCTCAAAACGAACATAAATCCGCATTATATGCATGCGCAGGAGTGCACGATCACAGGAAAATGACAATAGAGAAAAAGCAAAACTTTGGCACTGTGGGGAGTCGAACCATCAACACCGCCCCTTCCCCTTCCGATTCACAGACCGCACCACTAACCACTAGGCCATCCGACTGCCGCTGATAGCATGCTTCAGACGGCGCTGATGAATGTTCCACAATAGTTTCAATACATGCCAAGGAGATCGTTTTATTTTTGACCGAATTCCGCATTGTTTTCAATGTACAATTCATGAGAACCTTTTGATATGACACTGGTCAACGCTGTGTGCGATGTACGTCACAACAAAGCGGTTAGAACGGCAGTTCCTTAAGAATTTTTTCTTCGCTCCTTTTTTGGTATTCAGAGGGCCGCTCAGGAAAAATGAACTACAGTTTGGTGTTCCATGCATGTGCCCCTATATCATGCAAAAAACCGTTTTGAAAAAGCTTGGCATTCCTGAAAGACCTCCCTGGTTAGATTTCAGTCATCGTCACACTCACCAGGCATAACAAAAAATACATGATGTCAGATGATCAGCAGTATCAAGCCGCATACAATCGAGTTTTGTCGGTGCCGCGTGTACTGCTGTTACTTTCTAGGGAAACCATTCAGTATCACGTGTGATTTTAGGGAAACATCTGTGTTGCAAGGATTGCACTTGCGACTCGCATGGAAAGCAAAGTATATTATAGTATATTACACGGGTCATTGTGAGAGAGCTAGTCTCCCGAACAGTCCTGTTGCGATCATATAATTCATAGAATTCCAATGCTATGAAGAATGAGATCATATAGAGCGTGCTAACGTGGCTGTGGGTTCCTCATCAAGAACAGTTCCAAATATGTTAACACAAATCAATGGTTACCTTTATTTACCTTACATTTGTGACGCGTTACGGTATGCGGTGTAACGATAATAATTCTAGCACTTTCAGAGCCGTCAAAACCGTCCTCCCCAAAATCTGGCGAAACTAAGGAAAGTGCTGACGAGAGCGAGCTGCCCAGCTGTAAGTGCTATCATTTTATCGGAGCGTTCTTCGTTTGAGTGGAAAGAGTAGATGCACCTGCACCAGTAAACAACAAACACATAGGCAACCGTAGAATGCGCAGATGTAGAAAAGATCAGAAACACATTTCAGGAAAAGCTTTTAGAAAATGTGTTTTCCTTTTACTGTCCCATAATTCGCGAATCACTTCGCAATATTACTGTAAAATAATTTCTATAAAAATGGGTGAGGTGGGAAGCATGTCTCACGAAGTCGCACCCACCGTTCGTCTTTCTACGTAATTGGTCAGGTCGTTTGCTTCCTGTCCTCCTAGGTTATCGGGTCAATTTTTGGGACCTACTTCAGATCTCCGTTTTAATGAACACCAAATAGGGTCTCGCGAAGGAGAGTGTATGCAGTTCTCCTCTTCAGTCCACCTCACTGTCAGTTTAGCTCTCTGAGTTTTCGTGGCAAGCTTAAGCCTGACCCAGGCCTAAATATAGGCCATTGCATAATCATACGTTCGAGCCTGAGTCCAAGCAAAAGCCATACCTCATCGCGCAGTTCTGATGATCTGACCAAAGAGGAGAACTGAACACCTCCCTTCGTAGGTCAGGCTTTACGAAAGCTCTATCAGAACATGGGTGAGAGCACGCTTTCTCAAACACCGCTGTTACGCTCTATTGGCTGGATTGGCTTCCTTTGATAGAAGATGACCCACACACCTGCCACCTCTCCATTTCTCTATCTCGGTGCTCCCTACCTGATGCAGCTGAAAAGTAACAGGAGAGACTAGCTCTAATTTGTCAGGGCGTTTCCTATGGGTGAAATAATTGTAATGTGACATTTTGGTTCGAAAAGACTGAAATATGAAGTCTGTGGCTCACATGCCTCGAGCCCGATCACTTCCGAACACGATCTCACATCGTCATATTTCCGTTGGATTCCTGCAAAGTACTCCGACTTTGTCGGTGAAGTTGGGTGTTTGCAGTGTTTTAGCAAAACACAAGCGGCAAAAATCCAGCTTGAACGAGTTGGGTTTTCTGGCAGCATAAGCCCAACCTCCTCCAAGTGCTATTTCTTAAACTTGTTGAGGAAATCTCAGAGGGGATTTGCACTAGGAAGCGCCACCTATTAACGCCTGAGTCAGTAATTAACACATTGACGACAACGCGAGTTTTGGCTTTTTTGGCCACGTGGGACCGCGGCGATTTTGCGGGCGCGCTCGCCTCAGGTCGTTCAAGCAGATTTTGAGTGATAAATACATAAATAATGATCAATACAAAACCAGATCAGTAAATTGTAATGAGCACAACCTACCAGGGGTACAGTAGTGGAATTTCGATCGAAAGACATGGAATAACAATGAAAAAGCGAAATTTTTCAGAACTAGCTGCAATGGACCTCAAAAGCAATT